TATATATATATATATATATATATATATATATATATATATATATATATTTACACACACATGCATACAATAGATCTAAAATAAATGATAATGATCGAGAGAGAAGAGAGAGAGAGAAGAAGAAGGTTGAGTATCTGATATCAACTGATATTTTTCACATACTAAAAGTCTCAAAATCTAACTTGTTCTAGTACAAATCCAGCCATTTTTGCTGGCCTCTGAATACTTTCTTGTCCCTTCTCAGATCATATTTTTCTCTTTTTTTCATTTGGGTTCTGGAGAATGGAGAATTTGTAGAAATCCTCAACCACATCTTAAATAGGGGTGCCAATAATTATGGAGGGCTCTGTACATGTCTATACATACATACATATATATATATATACATATATATACACACACACATACATACAATAGATCTAAAATAAGTGATAATGATGGGGAGAGAAGAGAGAGGGAAGAAGAAGGTTGAGTATCTGAGAAAAGGCCATAAGGTCAGCACTTATAAACTGATATTCTTCTGATGGGAACTTACTAAATGGCTCAAAAATAAACTTGTTCTTCTGGTTTGTTGCACTTAAGACCAAAGTAAAATGGCTTACAAGAGAAGTTGATATTTAGGAAGTAACCAAGAAGGTTGAGCATCTGAGAAAAGGCCAAAAGCTCTTATAAACTGACATTTTTCACACACTAAAAGTCTCAAATTTAAACTTGTTCTAGTACAAATCCAGTCATTTTTGCTGGCCTCTGACTGCTTTCTTGTCCCCTCTCAGATCATATCGGTGACGGGCTTTGTGGACGCGGACCGGGACGACTTAAAGCTGATGGCGTACCTGGCCGGGGCCCGATACACCGGATACCTGTGCCGCAGCAACACCGTCCTCATCTGCAAGGAGTAAGGATATCTCCACTTACCTCTCCTTTTAAGGGCAGTTTCTACACACTGGAGCCTTAGACCAGTGCTTTTCAACCTTTTTTCAGCCAAGGTACGCTTTTTCATTGAAAAAATCACGAGGCACACCACCAACCAAAAATGTTAAACAAATCTGTAGCCGCCTATAGTAACACTATGCTTATTCTTATCTTATCTTAAGTGTCTTGAATAAGAATCAAATAAACACAAAAATGTATTTTTATCATATTTTATATTTCTTCTCTCAAATTGCACTTAACATGTCCACTTCAATATACAAAATTAAATACAAAATCTATTCATAAGGAATTATTACATGATTACTCCACCAGTCACTAGAACAGCACACACACTCAGAAATGGAATATTATTTGCAGATAATTAATTCCTTATCAAACAATCTTTTTAGACCAATTAGGTGAAATAGGATGATTTTCTACGGCACACTAGTGTACCGAGGACCAGGGGTTGAAAAACACTGCCTTAGACAACACGTCTGGTGGATTGTTTATAAACTTGCATAAAAGAAGATATTCTGTACATTCTTCTGTTGAAACCTGATTTCTAAACTCCATTTTATTCTATTTCGGTGGATTGTTTTATATAAAAACTTGCATAAAAGAAGATATTCTGTACATTCTTCTGTGAAAACCTGATTTCTAAACTCAATTTTATTCTACTTCGGTGGATTGTTTTATATAAAAACTTGCATAAAAGAAGATATTCGGTAAATATTTCAGATCTCTATTTTACTCTATTTCTGTGCATTTTACAAATGCATTTTTCTACACATTTGGCTCCATTTTGGGACTGTGCTGCACTGGGGGATTAATAAAGGACTTATTTTCCTATTTCAAACACAGCTGCCAGACTTGGTGTTACAGTAATTAGGAAGAATTACTGATACCAGGTGTGTTTATATGTCTTTGCTAATCTCCCCGTTTTCAGGCCGAGCGGGCTGAAATATGAGAAGGCCAAAGAGTGGAAGATCCCGTGTGTGAACGCCCAGTGGCTGTGTGACATCCTGCTGGGAAACTTTGAAGCTCTGCGGCAGATCCAGCACAGCAGATATTCCATCTACACCCACCCAGAGCCTCTGGTTCCCAACCCACAACTGGTCCAGAACCTGCTCGGTACGTCCAGCTCACACACATATGTACAGTGGGGGAAATAAGTATTTGAGCCCTTGCTGATTTTGCAGGTTTGCCCACTTACAAAGAATGCTTATTTTTCCTCATCAGATGGTTATCAATTTTTATAAATTCATATGATGTGATTTTCTGGAATTTTCTTTGGGATTCTGTCTTTCACTGTGAGAATGTACATATGATTAAAGTTATAGATCGTTGCTTTCTTTGCAAGTGGGCAAACCTGCAAAACCAAACACTTATTTCCCCACTGTATATTGTTGTGGAAATGTTATTTTAAAGCACAAGTCTGAGGAAGTTAGAAATCGAAATGTATTAAAAAGGGAAAAAAGGGAAAGGGAAAACCATACAATTGGTTCATACGAGGCACCAAACCGCCCCAAAGTAAAACAAAATCATAGTACATTTTATACCCTCTGAGTTTGAGAAAAGGGGTAAAATCTGTCTCCATCATAGAGAAACCTTTACCGAAAAATCCTAAAGTATAAGGTGTAGATAAAGTATAAGGAGACCCTCTATGAATGAGTCCCGTGAGAAAGAAAAAGAACCTTTAACATATTCACTTGTGGAAAGTTACCAGAAAGGAATTAGGAAAGTGATTATACATATATTAATTTCCCTAACAATATGAATAAATAGATAACGTATGTTTGAGCTCTTACTTTGTCTTCTTCTTTGTCTTGTAGGTGCTTGGAGGACTCCTGTCAAAGTCTCTCCTGAAGCCTTGGCGGTGAGTTTTTATATATGAGAAAGCATTAATTTATGAGATGCTTTTTAGATCAAAGGGAGCTACATGTTTTCCCTATTGAGATTGCCACTTGCTAGTTGTCCTTCCTGAATGAGGAGGTTTTTCCAACAAATGGACAGATCAGAGTAAATATGACCGTCTGTTGTTGGCAGAACCTGCAGATGCTGCAGAAGCAGAAGATGTCCAACTCCACCGGGTCCCCGGCCAGCAAGAAGCCCAGGTCAGAGCCGATGGGCTGCTCAGGAAACAGCTTCAGTTCTCTCACACACACACACTCTCACAAACACACACTCTCGCACACACTGTTACACACTCTAGCACACTCTCGCACTCTCACAGACTCTCACACACATTCTCACACACACTGTCATACACTCTCACACACACTCTCACACTATGTCACACTCACACACTCTCACACACATTCTCGCACTCTCACACACACTCTCTCACAGTCTCACACTCTCTCTCATTCACACAAATTCTCACACACTCAGACTCTCATACACGCTCTCACACTCGCACTCTCTCACACAATTACACACTCTCTCACACTTTCTCTCACACACTCTTGCACTCTCACACACACTTGCGCACTCTCACACACAGTCTCACATTGTCACACACACTCTCACACTCTCACACACACTCTCACACTCTCTCTCGCAATCTCACACACACTCTCACTCGCACACACTCTCACACACACTCGCGCACACACTCTCATACACACACACTCACACTCACACACACTCTCATACACTCTTACACACACTCTCTCTCTTGCACACTCTCTCGCACTCTCTCACACACATTCTCACACACACTCTCACACTGTCACACTTGCACACTCTCATACACACTCTCTCTCAGACAGTTTGTGGCACTAACAAGTGTGTGTGTGTGTCTCTCTGTCTGTCTGTCTGTCTGTGTGTGTGTGTGTGTGTGTGTGTGTGTGTGTGTGTGTGTGTGTGTGTCTCTCTGTCTGTGTGTGTGTGTGTGTGCAGGCTGGAGGAGATCCAGTCCCCCAGTAAGAAGCTTCCTCCAGAATCTACCCCCCAGGTCCTGTTCACGGGCTTTGAGCCCATGCAGGTCCAGCAGCTCACAAAGGTAAAGCAGCCTCTGGCTAACCCTAACCTGACCCCCCCCCCCCCCCCCATAGCCTGATGCTAACACCCCCCGGCAGCTAATAGTTCCATTAGCATTAAGTCAACAAGTCTGGTGGATTGTTTTATATAAAAACTTGCATAAAAGAAGATATTCTGCACATTCTTCTGTTAAATCGTGATTTCTGATCTCTATTTCCGTGTATTTGTTTACATCTTTCACACATTTTTCCACACATTTGGCTCTATTGAGGGACTTTGCTGCTACTAGTACCAGTACCATTAAGCCTCACAGCTACTAGTACCATTAGCATTAAGCCTGACAGCTATTATCGATATCAGCTTTGGTAAACGTGGAGCTGGGAGCTGCTAAACTCCCCATATCTCCAGTTACCTGTCCTTTTATGGGCAGTATAAAAGAAGATATTCTGTACATTCTTCTGTGAAATCGGGATTTCTAAACTAAATTTTATTCTATTTCGGTGGATTGGTTTATATAAAAACTTGCATAAAAGAAGATATTCTGTACATTCTTCTGTGAAATCGGGATTTCTAAACTCTATTTCCGTGCATTTGTTTACATTTTCCGTGCATTTGTTTACATTTTTAACACATTTTTCCACACATTTGGCTGTATTGAGGGACTGTGGTGCTCTGGGGGAGTAATAAAGTCCTTATTTCCCACAGAGGCTGCACGCCCTGGGGGGGGAGGTGGCCGACAGCTGCCAGAAGGCCTCCCACCTGGTGGCCATTAAGGTGACGCGCACCGTGAAGTTCCTGAGCGCCCTGTCGGTGGTGAAGCACGTGCTCAGCCCTGATTGGCTGGAGGAGAGCTGGAGGAGCCAGAGGTTTGTGGGTAAGTCAGTGAGACCAGGGCTTCCTTCTATTGACTGCAACTCCAGCCCTGGAAAATCTAAAAATCTAGCTGCCATCTTTGTTTCAATGTATAGAGCAAACAAAAAAAAGGCAGACGATATCCGGCGAGCAAACTGACATTATATAATGTAAGGAGAACGATCATTTATCTTCAAATACTGTACAACAACATACCTGCATTCATGAAAAACAAAGTTAGTGAGACCAGGGCTTCCTTCTATTGACTGCAACTAAAATTCAACCGAAAAAAGAAATACAAATTCAAGATCTGCACATCACTGTTTGGTTACCATAGAAATATATGACAGCTCATTTATAACACGTTTACATCATGTTCAATCATTACTTTTTAAGCAAATCACGTCTTTTTTATTTACATACAGTCATATTAAAGTAATCATTTGTAATTACTGTGCGTTTTATTCATTAAAATATTTTTATTTATCCGGAGCACTACTAAACGCTGCTTACCTCCAGCCCGGGAAAATCTAGCTGCTACTCTTAGTTTTTGTTGTATAGAGCAAACAAAAAAAAGGCAGACGATATCCGGCGAGCAAACTGATATTATATAATGTAAGGAGAACGATCATTTATCTTCAAACACTGTACAACAACGTACCTGCATTCATGAAAAATAAAGTTAGTGAGACCAGGGTTTCCTTCTATTGACTGCAACTAAAATTCAACCGAAAAAAGAAATACAAATTCAAGATGTTTCATGACGCACATCACTGTTTGGTTACCATAGAAATATATTACAGCTCAATTATAACACGTTTACGCCATGTTCAATCATTACTTTTTAAGCAAATCACGTCTTTTTTATTTACATACAGTCGTATTAAAGTAATAATTTGTAATTACTGTGCGTGTTATTCATTAAAATATTTTTACCTCCAGCCCGGGAAAATCTAGCTGGAGGTACGGCAAGCGCCAGCGCCCAAAAAGCACAAACACAAAAAGCAGTCACGAAGGCCCATGGTCAACGAAGTGAATGCATTCAGTACACATTTTTTTTTTTTTAAACTTTATTTATCAATTTTCACAGCATATTCTTTACAGCATTCATGTTTTATACAACGCTGTCTTTCTTAACATACATAACCCTTACACAAAACTTTATAAAAATAAATAAATAAATAAATAAAATATATAAAATAAAATTATTTAAAAAAAAATAAAAAAAAAAATAAAGTAAAAGCTTAAAAAACACATACACAATAAATATATAAATAATAAAGACAAACGAAAATACAAAAATCTGTTCATAGCTGACTAGAAGAATATAGCAGTAGTTTAGTTATGATAAGATACTCATTTTAAATGTTTCCATGTAGTGTAAAAATGGCTGCCATGTTTTGATAAATTTAGCAGTACACCTCATCTTTTCTAAATGTAAGAACCTCACTGCTCATGTGTGGGTGGGGCCTTCTGTTTCCACCTCAACAGTATCAGACATCTCGCAATCAACGTAGCAAAAGCTATAGTATTTTAATTATATTTGGAGAGTAAACTATGCGGGGGTATGATTCCAAAAACTGCAGTTAGAGCGCATTCAGTACACATTTAACATAGGTTCAAACAAATAACAAAAAAGAGTAAAATAAAGATTTAGGTAAGAATTCTCTCTACTAAATGGGGCATGTATTTAAACTCCGTTACGTGTGTGATGCAGAGGAGCAGGGCTTCGGTCTGAGGGACGCGGAGGCAGAGGTTCTGTTCAGCTTCAGCCTGGAGGAGTCTCTGAGGAGGGCCCGCAGCACGCCGCTGTTCAAGGTA